TCATGATATAGGCACATTACAGGGAAGCTAATTGAATTGATCCCTTATGCAATTCTAGGAATTATGGTTCTTGTATTGTTCCAAGTCTTAATCTAAATTTAATTATAGTTCTATGAATCATAGTCTTAGTTTTATTCCAATTTCCTAAACTAAATCTACATCTAAGTACTTGATAGAAATCCTTTCATAATTCTAATTCTTGCTTAATAGACATCTTTAAATGATTCTAATTCTCATTAGTTCCTTAAAGAAACCAACTTCCTATCTAATTGTAGATTCAAACTCCTTCCCATTTGCTGGTTTTGTGGGTCTCACATCTTATGTATTAAAACATGTGATAAGTCAGTTTATGCGTGATCATGAGAAAGTACATTTACAGGCAGCTTATAGAATCTTGGGCTATTTGAAAGGAAGTCCTGAAAGAGGGATTCTTTTCAAAAGAAGTAATGAGTTGGTCTTTGAAGCATAATGGAGGAGTCATAAGTAGCATGTTTTATTAGATCAAGTGCAAAAGCAGAATTCAGGTCTTTGGCTCCAGGGACTTGTGAGTTATTATGGTTAAAAATTGTTCTTGATGATTTGGAGATAAGATGGAGTAGTCCAATGAGGTTGTACTGCAATAATACATCGGCAGTAAATATCGCATATAACCTAGTACAGCAGGATCAGATGAAACATATTGAGGTTGATAGATATTTTAGTAAAGAATGGATTGATTTGCATGCCCATGTTCCAACCGGAGGTCAACTTGCAGATATTCTTACAAGAGGACCGAGTACTAAAGTGTTTCAGAGAATTCTTGGCAAGGTAGGAATGATATGTCCTATATGCATCAGTTTGAGTGGAAGTGTGGAAAAAGAATCGGTCAGCTGCACTTTAAACCTAATTAGCATAAAATCTGTATTTCCTAATTTTAGTGAATTGTGAATCTTTCCTAATGAGAGTTAAATCTGTATCTTTTCTGAATGAGTGGGATTCCTATGTTTTCAGTGATGAATTAAGTCACCATTCTCCTTAAATGTATCAGCTGCATAAATATCTTGTATATTTTTCATAATAATGCAAATATGTTCTCCCAATTTTCCTCATACACAAGCCACCTGTCATTATGTCCTTATCAGTAGGAACCATTGACTTGGAAGGAGGTTAGGCACGTAGCGAATCCACTAAGGCTTTCCTCCATTCAAGGTTGGTGTGCAACAATCTTGCTAAAGTTTCTCTGTCCAAGGCTGATCTGAGACAACCACTAACAGGAGCCACCAGCCATTACTTTCTGTTCCTCTGGGAAGCATCTTCTAAGAGCCATTACAGCAGGATCAGATGAAACATATTGAGGTTGATAGATATTTTAGTAAAGAATGGATTGATTTGCATGCCCATGTTCCAACCGGAGGTCAACTTGCAGATATTCTTACAAGAGGACCGAGTACTAAAGTGTTTCAGAGAATTCTTGGCAAGGTAGGAATGATATGTCCTATATGCATCAGTTTGAGTGGAAGTGTGGAAAAAGAATCGGTCAGCTGCACTTTAAACCTAATTAGCATAAAATCTGTATTTCCTAATTTTAGTGAATTGTGAATCTTTCCTAATGAGAGTTAAATCTACCATTGACTTGGAAGGAGGTTAGGCACGAAGCGAATCCACTAAGGCTTTCCTCCATTCAAGGTTGGTGTGCAACAATCTTGCTAAAGTTTCTCTGTCCAAGGCTGATCTGAGACAACCACTAACAGGAGCCACCAGCCATTACTTTCTGTTCCTCTGGGAAGCATCTTCTAAGAGCCTCCGTTGTTTACCACCGTCGAGTCCAAATAACTTCCTCTTCTTTGTCCTCCACACCCACTAAAAGATCTTTTCGGTCCCCTTGAAGCCTCTGCCTCCAAGACCTATAGAAGTTGCACCATGCTTGGAACAATCATCTGATCATAAGGTTGAAAAGGTTGAAGGAGAACCAAAAACGAAATTTCCTAAGAGTCTTTACGATAGTATTAAAATTTATGGTTACCTGACTCAACGTTAATACTTGAAGGCTAGGGGTTGGACACGAGGGCAAGGTTTGACCCCCAACAAAGAAAAGTAGAGAGAGAAAAGAGAAGTTGAATGTTGTATGCTACTTCATTACAGCTTTTACTGATTTCTTATTTTGTCTATAGTGTGTATCTCAGTGGCATAATTGTTATTTTTACTCTTTGCTTCCTCAATTTACTCTGTAAACTTCTGTGGCTAAAACTTTGATCAGATTGGTGGAATTTGCACATAGTAGAGTGTGTTTTTCAGAAGAAAATTGATTGTAACTTCCAATTTTATTAGCTTCCAATGGGTAAATTTTTTCTTCTTCCTTGTAAAAGTTCATGGATTGTGGTGGAATGATTTTTTCTTCTCATGAATGCACTCAGGGAATAGTGGTCTGAACGGTTCAAAACTTGCAGTGCTGAGTAAAGGATTATGTCAATTGATTCTTAGTATCTGGTCTTCTGTTATTTTTGCAGCTTGTTTTAGAGGGTTTAAGGGCAAGGCAGCTGCAGGATGCTCTATTGATGGATAAACGAACTATGGAAAGAGACATTCAGCAAGCCAATGTATTACTTGATTTCTTTGCCATGAGAGCTTCAAGAATGGAAGATCAGGTATACTATCATATTTTTCATGTAGAACTGACAGATTGAGAATTTGAATCCTAACTAATGGATGCTTTCCTTAGTTTGAAATTTTGTTTC